TAATATTCTGTTCCAAAATCAGCCTCAATCTTGTTTAGACAGCTGATAATGAGTTCTGTATTGTCTCTTTCTATAGATAAAACCAATTTGATACTTGTATATTCCTTTAGGTAGATCCATGTATATAATTGTCATTTATGTTATTCTGGTTTTCTGTAAAAAGGTATGAGCAATGAATAAATTATTGATTGGAAATAAAAGGGGGGAAGTTTTTTAAAAAGGTTCATTTTTCCAAAGGACACTTAGGTTCTATCTTGAATCAAAATGGTTTTGTCAGCTCCCTCTGTATTTCCTCCTGCTTATATTTGTCTTTTATTGCTTTATTTCTCTTGTTTTTTTTTTATTTGTTCCTATTTTACACACACACACCCTCTTTCCCCTTTTACCCTTTCATTTATTCTTTCTTTCTCTTACTTACATTGATAACCAGCCATAATGTAAACAGGAAATTTTCTTTTTTATTAAGTATTTTTCTGAAGAATTTTTTTTTCCAAGAAATGTTTAAAGCAGTATACATGGCCATGAGGATTAAGAGTGAGTTCCAGAGTAATATACCAGGGTTTGCATCCACTTCTTCCATTCACTATCCACTCTTGTACATAAGAATGTGGGCACAGCCAGGTACCAGAGTCTATACCTACAGAAAGCGAAGACTATCTGTGTACCTGCCTTGTGGTGATGAACACATGAATTCTCTTTGTGAAATTCTGTGAGAGCCTGGAGACTATACAAGAGCAAAGGTTCATCATGTGCAGGGAGTACAAAAATGACATATGTTACAGTCAAATATTTAATGGCATGTTCTCCTGGTACTGTTGCCTCTAGCAAAAGTGATAGTTTCCTCCAACAATGATAGTCCTTTATGTTGTCCAGAAAGGCATATAACCCCTGGTTGCCTTAAATAACCTGCTAAGTATCCATCTATGCATGTAATTATCTGAACCGTCTTTTAACCTATTTATATTTCAGCCACTACCACCTCTTGAGATAATGAGTTCCACAAACCTACTACCTGCTGTTAGAGCATTTGGCAGAACACAGCCACTTTCAGTGTGTAGGGACTGGCTCCTTCTCTGGTGCATGCCTCCCAGTCTTCTTCATACCAAGAAAATTATACTACTTTTCTATCCAAGAATTCTGGCTTTTCTTAAAATAATAATTATTCTGTGTACTTTTTTAAGTAATTGTTTTGCATTTCCATTTCTTATTACAAGAATAATGGACTGCAGCACAAGGGTGTTTCTAGTGAAAAACAAAGAAACAGTATTTTAACCAATACAACCTTATTTTTAAAGTTGTGTGAAAGAAGTGGATACGCTGATGTGAGCATAGCTGACTGTGACTTCTGCCTGCTTCATAAAGGGGAACTTTCCCCATCAATAATATCCTTAAGTAGCAAATAGATAGTTGCTCTGTTAGACATGCCACCCCCCATTCTCTTTTCCCTATTTCCACTGATCAATTGGATTCAGTATTCATTGTTGATTTACTTTATTCACAGACTTTATTCACAGTTGTGGTACCAAGAGCGGGGTTTATTAGGGAAATAGGTTGGGCATGGCAGAGGCAAAGAATCTCACATTACAAGTCCAGGTTTAGTCCAGAAGTCTCAAGCCAAATTAACAGAAAAACACAATTCCTTAATTAGTAAAAGTACTGGTGTCAGCTCAGCAGTCAAATTTAAATTATCCAGCAAGATTTGCCTCAGAACAGTTATAAGTCAGCTAGTCCTTCAAGCATCCGACAAGAACAACAAAACCTTTAATTGTGGCCTTTATCTCAAGGCCCCTCTGATTACACCTTGCCACAGTTTCTCCACAGCAGTGCCACAGCCTTTCCACCACCACCACCACCATCACCATCCAGTCTCCCTCAAGTCTTGCTCCTCAGTGTGAGAAGTGCATGCGCGCACGCGCTCACTCTCTCTCATCCTAGTCCCACAGCTGTTGATGAGTTGCAGGATCATGTATCTGCAGTTGAGGAAGCTGGATACCAGAGGGGCCTAACCTAATAATGACTTAGGACAGCCAACTTTTAAGCTAGCACCGCAGGTAGTATAGGACTTATAAGACAGTAGAGATATTAAAATTCCTGCTACATTTACTCATCCGTGCCTTGAGTTATTTGTAAAATGGAGAGAGTACCCGCTAGCTGTAGAGGTGTTAGGAAGATTTTAAGTTACTTAATGTATATGGAGCACTTAAATCAGGATCTGATATACAGATGCATCTGTCCCATCAATGTTTTAATTATAATTAGTGATACTGTTAATATTCTCCCCCCCCCCCCCGGAAACCAGATGCACAGATTGCAAGCCTCTATATGTATAAGGAATCTTAAACCTTTTATGGCATTGCACCCTGCCCCATTTGCAGCAGATTTTATTTACCTTTGCATTAGCCTGTGGTTGTAAAGTTGTTTAATCCTTTATTTTACAGACAGTATGTCGAAAGCCAAAGACATCCACTGATCGGCACAGTTTGAGCCTTGATGACATCAGACTTTACCAAAAAGACTTCTTGCAAATCGCAGGTCTCTGTCAGGACACTGCTCAGAGCTACACTTTTGGATGTGGCCATGAACTAGATGAGGAAGGACTCTACTGCAACAGCTGCTTGGCTCAGCAGTGCAACAACATCCAAGATGCTTTCCCAGTCAAAAGAACCAGCAAGTACTTTTCTCTGGATCTCACTCAAGATGAAGTTCCAGAATTTGTTGTATAAAGTCTTTCTGCTTGCAGCCCTACAAGCAGCCTGCTGTTTGCAAGAGGCTGTATAAGCCATGGGTTCCTTTAACTATTACTTATATTTTCTTCATCCCAAACAATGCTCTTTTCTTTTTTATTTGTGTTGGAAATAAAAGCCTTGGGACAATTGCACTTTAAATATTATGCAGAAGTAAACTGCAAAAATCAAACAGCAACACGAATGAGCTATACTGTTTACTAAACCTTCAGAATGTTGGACAGCTATAATGTGCTTGTTCATTTGTTTTGCTTTTAAGATCCTTTATGCTTAATGTCTCTTTGTTAATCGTATACAAGGTGTTTTATACCTATTTGTTTGTTTATAAATTTTTCACTGATCTCTCATGAAATGCTTGTGCTTTGAGGAAGGAGAGGGAAGGGTCTCGCCTTTGAACAGAGAAAACATTGCCTCATTATATAGCCGTTGCTGCCTGTCCCAAAGTGAACTCTAATGAAGAGGTCAAAAATCATGTGTTTCTAGAAAGCCAAAGATATGTACATACCAGAAGCTCTAGTCTAGAGTCTTGAAGACATGGATTAAGCAATAAGCAAAAGACTATGCATGTTGTGATGCCTTGTGACTTCTTCACGCCTGATCAGTGCCATATCCTCCACTTTGTTCTTCCAGAAAGTCTAGGTCTCAGCAGAGTTCCTCATCTAAGTAACAAATCAACTGTGCTCACATCATAATGCATTTTGTAGCGTTTTCAAAACTGGTTTATGTTAAAACTATGGAGTTGTATTTGATGTTTCTGCTTTGTGATGATTATATGTATGTGTGTGTTTTGATTTTCAGTAACTAGTTTCGGCCTAACCAAAGTACCCTTTGATATTTTTTTGCAATGTTTCTATTTGCATATCTAATACATATATAAATGCATAGGTCATGTGGGCTTATATATGTTCAGTGCTTACTTATCATTTTTGTTGCCATGACCATCTTATACATGGTCTCCCATGTTTAATATATTTGATACATTATTGGATGAATGAGATGATACCGACAGACAATCAACTGGTGTATGTAAAGTTAGGAACAACTTTTTTTCTTGGGTGTCTTTTGCTATGATTTTTAGCCCTGATTGTGTAATATAATTACTTGGAGAGTTTGGGGAAAACACCCAAACCAGGGTCTGAGTCCCAACCCAGATCACTTAAATCAATTCTGGTGTTGAGACCCAACTGGAATTTACTCTTACACATCTTCAAATGAATCTACCATGGAACAAGGTTGAAAATCAATGACCCCCAGAAAAGTTTTTGGTTTTTTCTTACAAAATCAAAGTATACAGGATATATTAATATATAAGAAAGGGCCATTTTTAAGTCAGTTACTGCTGTGCTGCTGTTAATGATACATAATGTAATCAAGACAGGAAAGTGAATCTATTAACCTTTTGATGTTATTAAAAGTGTACTTCATTCACACTTTATTTACGCTTCAGGAGAGAACTTCATAGCACAATATCTTTCTAGGAGATATTTTTGATGATTTAGTATTTTACATTTGTTTACCATATTTTGATATACCATTTTTTGTATCTGCCAGATTTTATTAAAAAACCCTGTATATTATTTTCTAAAAGAAAAAGTAAACCAGCCATATTTTTATACAAAATTATGTTTTCAAAGAAATAGATTTAGGGTACAGCAGAACATAAGCAGTGTTACCCGTGGATGGAGTCAGTATTATAGAACAGAGGTGAACTCAGACCGTGCTCCACCTCATGTGCCTGTATGCGGGTGTGACGTGGTCAGTGTATATGCAGCATATCCTTGTCTGATTAGCTTAGGCCGACTTTAAAATGGGGGGTGGAACTTCTATAGAGATGAATAGTCATGAAATTATTTTGCTTTTTGCTTTTATCAAATGCTTTAAAAGAACCAAAGTTTTGAATGTCAGAATGTATAAAAATGTCTCAGTCTCTATGTAAAGGGTAAAAATATGAAAGGATCATCAAATGACTGCTTATAAGTCATTTGATGAGCCATTTCTTACAGATGCTTGAGTGACAAATCCTGGTCAAGAATGAATTCTGAATGGCTCAGGTCGTGATACGATGTGTTTAACTCTTAGTTTTTCTTGCAGACATAGGAGAGGAAATGTATTTAATTAAGCAAGTAGCGCTTTATACTATTTTCTTTCTACTTTAGCCAGGATCAGGCCTTCAGAGTTTCACTAGTATTGGTGGTTTTTCACACCCACTTTCTAATTGGATTTATGAATAGCTTTTTTGGATTTTCAAACTGAAACAAGCTAAGAAATAGTTTTGCTTCTTAATCCTCTATTTGCAAGAGAATTATGTCTATATATATGTGTGTGTGTATAGGAAAATATGTTTTGAATAAACGACATTTTTTGTATTTGGAAATTGTTTTAAAAAATAAAAAAGGAAAAGTATAAAGCTGTTATTTATTCTGCCTTTGTTACATATCCATTGCTAGCCAGTATACCAATTTGGTATATATTGCCTCTACACTTTTACATTTGTATTTGCAACAATGAGCTTTATATTACATAAACTGTAAATAATCCTTTCTGTGAAAGGATCATCATATCCAGATGATACCAGACATGTAAAAGAAAACCATTATTTTGTAATTATTTCTGATAGGTATTTCATGGTAAGATTAGCAGTCAATAAAGTTACTTTATATTTGTCTTTGAACTGTCTTATTTTGTTACTTCAGTTCTCAGTTAAGCCCAGAGGCATTGAAGAGTCTTCTGGCAATCATCTTTCCTACAAGGCTGCAAGTTGAAGTACAGAGAAGTCCAATGTAATAGAATTCTGAACAAGCCTTGTCATTCTGGTGATGCTTCACTCAGTCACCGTGTCCTAACCACTGTTTCATGTAGTAGAACTGTTGTTTTTATTGTTATGTGCCATAAAGTCGCTTGCAACTCATAGCGACCCTATGTACAAGTGCCCTAAACTCTGCTCTGTCCTGTGCCAATCGCACTGTCTCTGACACTTCCATCCCAATTAAGCCGGTAATTGAATCAGTCCACCTCATAGAAGGCCTTCCTCCTGCGCCGTCCCTCCACCCTCCCAAGCATGATGTCCCTCTCCAAGGACCGGTCTCTCCTCACTACATGTCCAAGGTAAGTTAGACGGAGCCTCAGAATCCTTGCATCCAAGGAGCCACCCGGTTTAACCCTCTCCAGGACAAATCTGTTTGTTTTCCTAGCAGTCCATGGTATTCTCAATACTCTTCTCCAGCACCACAGCTCAAAGGCATCAATTCTCCTTCTATCCTCCTTGGTCATTGTCCAACTCTCTGATGCATAACAGGTGATTGCGAAGACCATGGCCTGTATCAGATGCACCTTAGTCTCCAGAGAGACACCACTGCTCTTCAGCACCTTGGAGAGGCCCCTAACAGCAGACTTTCCCATGGCAATGCGCCTTTTAATTTCCTGGCTGCTGGTGCCAAGACTGTTGACTATGGAGCCAAGCAAACTAAAGCTGTGTACAATCTCAATCTCTTCACCATCCAGTGGTGAGAATCTTTGTCTTCCTGACATTGAGCCTCAATCCATATTGTAGGCTGCAGTCCTTGACACTCTGCAGCAGGCGCTTCAGGTCCTCTTCAGTTTCAGCAAGCAGAATTGTGTCATCCGCATAATGCAGATTGTTGATAAATCGTCCACCAAACTTGACCCCACATTTCTCCTCATAGAGCCCAGCCTCCCGGATAATCTGTTCTGCATATAGGTTGAAAAGGTATGGAGATAGGATGCATCCCTGGCGTACGCCCTTCCCAATTTTGAACCATGCAGTGTTCCCTTGCTCTGTTCTGACGACTGCCTCCTGGTCCAAGTATAAGTTTCACATTAGAACGATCAAGTGTATGTTAGATGGAGCCTCAGAATCCTTGCCTCCAAGGAGCCACCCAGTTTAACCATCTCCAGGGTGAATCTGTTTTCCATGGTACTCTCAGTACTCTTCTCCAGCACCACAGCTCAAAGGCATCAATTCTCCTTCTATCCTCTTTAGTCATTGTCCAACTCTCTAATGCATAACAAGCGATAGCAAAGACCATGGCCTGTATCAGACGCACCTTAGTCTCCAGAGACACCATTGCTCTTCAATACTTTGGAGCATTAAATCTTTTAACCCTCGTATGCCCATAGAGTTGGTTCTGCTACTACTTCACACTAGAGATTATAGAGCCCAGGCTCCAAGTAGTTTAAGTCATGAGAAGAGGTAGTTGTTCACCCCAATATTAACTTCTAAATTGTGAGGACTGACCAGGCTCTATATTTTACAATATAACTTTTTTTTGCTTTCCCTTATTAAAATAACTATTGTAACTTACCAGCCCAACTGTCCAATCCAGTCAAATGGATTGAGAAATCATGGTACATTTACATGATGGAATACTACACAGCATGTAGGAGCAGTGATTTTTTAAAAGTTTGCTTAAAAGGTATACATTGTATTTCACACTATTCTTCATTCATACTGTGTTTCATACAATCATTCTCAAGCATCATGTTTCATAAAAAATCAACCACCATTGGACCTTGCCCATCATTACCTTATCTTTCTCCCGGATCCTTCCCCTTTCCTTGCCCCCCTCCCTCCACCTACCAAACTGTGCAACCTTGTGTTTTCACTCCTACATATTCTCACCCCCCCACTCCCACCTCTCCGCCCCCCTTGAATTCCCATACATGTTTTAATAGTTATTCTATTTTTACAATAATGGTCTTATGCAGTATTTGTCCTTATGAGACTGTCCTTATGTTCACTCAGCATTATGCTGTCCAGCCTCACCCAAGTTACATAGTATTTTTTAAATTGTTGCTCCTGAGTGCTGCATAGTATTCTATTCTGTGAATGTACCACAATTTCTCAGTCAGATCTATTGTGGTTGGACATTTGGGCTGTCTTCATGTTCTCGTGATGGTGAATAACTGTTATGAACTTTGGTGTACAAATCTGTGTGTCTCAGTTCTAATTTTCTTGGGTTATATTCCTAGTAGTAGAATAGCTGAGTCATATGGAGTTTCTGTGTTCAGCTTTTTGAGAAAATGCCAAACTGTCTTCCAAAGTGGTTGCACCATTTTCAGTCCCACCAACAGTGTATGAGAAGTCTCACCTCTCCATATCCTCTGCAACATTTATTACTTGCTGTCCTGTTAAATTTTGCCACTGCTACTGGGGTGAGATGCTA